CATAGTACCCAACAGCTTCTGAGGACACTTCGGGGGACACTCCAGTGCCAAAGCAAGGGTCCAGGCAGACGGCGTGGCTGGCCGCCCGAACACTGCGTTATGGACATTTTTCTGCAAGCGCACCACCCCGGACATGCCCAGGCATCCCGCGCTCCCCGAGAGCGTCACTCCGCTGCCTCGCCGCTGCTCGTGGTCGGCGTCGTGGGCAGTGCGGTAAGTGTCTGGGTTGCCACCCTCACGTCAAAGTGCAGGGCTCTCCCTGGGAAGAGCCAGCGTCTGCAGTCCGCGGGGCAGTCCAGCCCCCAGTGGCCTCACCCTGAACCCTCTCCCTGCGCTGGCACGAGCCCCAGGTGTGTCTAGGTGTGCTCCCGTGGGCCTGGCCTCCCCCAGGGCCTGGGGGTCCTGGATCCTGTTGCAGGGCACTGACAGCGGCCTCGTGTCCCTGCCTCCAGTTAGCCGGCACCTTCCCTGCCCACCCACCTGGCCCACCCCGTTGGCTAGCTCCGCCTGCAGTCCCCAGGAGCCTTCCAGAAGCCCCTGCCCCGGCCCCTCCGCGCCCCGAGCCTTGAGCAGAGTCGCACATCTCCTGGTTCGGGACCGATGGAGAGGAGGACCAAGCTCTGGGGCCCTCAGTAGCATGGCTGGTGTTTGCATGCGTCACACCCTGACTGCCTCCGCGGACCTCGGAGGAAACAGGTGGCGTTTGAGAGCCGTTTACACCCAGGTGGTGATACCGTAGGCAGGCGGTTCTACACCATCACTTTCTGAACCTCAGATGGTTTTCGCTCTCGACGCCCAGCGCAGTCACTAGCTTTTAGTCCCAGAAACCCATTTTGTGTATGCGATCGCAGCTTTTGCTTGGTTGGGTGGACGGTCATCCGACGAAGGGACGCAGCTTTGTCCTGAGAGGGGTCCCAGCTGTTGGAGGTAAAAGGTGAAGAGACGGAAGGTAAAGAGCTAGGAATGGGTCTGGTTATTTACATGGGCACCTGTGGAGTATTTAAGTCAGGCCCTTCCTTTTACCGCCCCGTCTCAGGACAGAAGACTAGGAGGTGGTTTTGTTGTTTGCATGAGTCCCCAGTGGATAAAACACTCAGGGACATGAACAAGACAGAAAAGAAACCTATTACGTTCTGGGAATAAAACAATTTTAGGAAACAGCATAGTCCCCACCCCAAGCTGGTAGTTGACTTTGGGTTACCTCAGGTGTTGCCCTGTAAGGAGGTTCACCCCAAGCCCACACTTGCTAAGGCCCAGAGTCTACAAGTAGCCGAGGAGGGCTGGCCGTGCCCAGGCGGGGGTTCCCCAGCTCTTGCATCAGAGTTAGGATTTAAATAACAGAGTGGGGTCTGTGACAGTCTTGGGGCTGGAGGAACCAGGCCTCAAGTCCAGTACACTCAGGGACTTCGCTGTGTGAACACGCTTCTCGTTTAGAAAGGTCTGTATCCCAAGAGCTGGATGTACCTAGCGTTAGACGCTGCTTTGAAAAGGCTGCTCCTCTGGAGAGCCAGCCTTCAGGACATCCAGCCCTCCGTGTGGACACTGGTTCCCATCTCACTCTTGCTCAGCTGCTGAGAGTCTCAGCCCTTTTTTTTCCCTCTCTGTTTTGCTCCTGCTTGATGGCAGCTCAGCCTCACCTGGGCCTTGTCTGCCACTCAGGCCTCTGTCTCCACAGGTGTCCTGCATACGGGGCAGGTGGGCAGGGCCAGGCCTAGGAAAGCATCTGGAGTTCCTCCTCCAGCCCTCGCCTCTCCCTGTCTCAGGAAACCCTCTTCTCAGTATTTTTTTAATGAAATACACTTACTACTTGTCTTTATTTTTCTTATTTTGCAGAGGACATTTAGAAGGCGGTGGTTCAAACCACCGAGTCTGTTCTATTCCAACTCCCTTTTCTGGGCATCAGAGCCCTTTTCAGTCGATAGTATATCCTCCTTGTTAAAAAAAAAAAAAAGAAGCAAAACAGTATTTTTTAATTCTTTTTTCCTGTGGTCATCTGTTTGCATGATGGACAGGTTTGCTTTCACACTTCATTCTGACCCTGCCTCACGCCCTTGCCCCATAGATTCAATTCCCCTGAGGCCTGTTTCCTTCCTGCTGTGTCTCTGGGCACTCCAGGTATGCACCTTGGGCCGCTGGTCTCTGAAAGGCCCTGAGCTCATTGGGCCACTGTCATGGTCCTTCCTCAGCCTCTGTTTCCTGGGGCACTTGGCCTCTGACTCAGCTACTTTCTGAAAGAGCTTGGGTTTTATCACAGAATATTATTTAAAAAAACATGAAGATTTAAAAATCAGACATGTACAAACTGTACCATCACCACTGGGCGACAATGGATTGTACACCAGCACTTCATACCCACTCATGATAAACAGACCAAGCCAAGGCTGCATTCTGGGTTTGAAGTGAAAGTGTGTGTGCTTTGTCTGGGGGGCCGAGGGAGCCGGGCAGGAGGGCTCGTCCTCTCTGGGTCCACAGGCCCAGTTTTCCCGCTCTGTTAGCTGCGGAGGCCTGTCTGGGGCGTAGGCAGATGCAAGTGTGACACCCCGTGTTGTAGACAAAATACCACAAGCCATGTGTTCTGTGCGGCGTTTGGTAACTGTCGCGTATCTGTTGGTCAGTGGAAAGAGATAGTTTCGTTTTCTTTTGACTTAAAGTTAAAAGTAATAAAGAGCTTCAATAGGAGGGCTGTAGGGTTTGGGGCAGACTAGTGACTGTAGCCTGGAATACAGTGGATTGCTTACTCTTTTATCTAGCTGTTAAGATGAATCGTCAGAAGAGAAATGCATCATTTTTGTGACCTTTTGTAACCTTGGAAGCACTCAGGGTGCTTTTGGTAGTTGTGGCTCACATGTAAATCTGTCACTCAGTGTTGCCTAAGTGCTCAGACTCCCTGGCAGTTCCACCAGCCTGTGACAGCCACCCTCCTGCTGTCTGCTCCAGCTCAATAACTAAATAGATAGGCCAGCCCTGGGGTCGCTGACACACCAGTGACATCCTTGGCCACATGTTGAATGCTGAAACTTGTTTTTGATGCCACAAGTTGTTTTCAATTAGATTGGGAGCTTGGCAGAGGACTGAGGGGCCCTCAGGGAGGGAGGCAGGCCTCATGACCCCTACACCTCCACCTGGAGTACACCCATTTGGCCTGTGATGCAGCTGTGGTGAAACCAGCTAAAAAAAAGACCATTTTTTTACTGTTGTTAAACGTGTTGTCCTGTGTGTATGTGTACCCATGAACGGAATTGTGAGAGAGCTGTAAATGCCCAGTATGTTCACTCTACTGCTTGGAAGGTTTTCTTGTTGGAATAATTTCCTACCTGGAACACTTGTAAAGTCAGCAGAGTGCAGCCCGAGCCCTGTCGCCCATTCCCAGCAGTCCGGGGGTGAAGCTGAATGCACAGGCCACCAATGGCACCGCTCGTAAACGCAGGCACTTGTTAAATCTATTTGTTTTTATTACAGACATCGATCTGCCAGTCGCAATCATGTCGTTATGGACATTTTTCTGCAAGCGCAGCGCTGGTGGCAGTTTTTACTGACAAATTGAGTCATATGGATAGTAGTGTAGAAAACTCTTACCCGACTGACGCATTGGGTTGTTGTGGCACTGGATGTCCCGAGATTCCTAGATGGTGAAGAGAGGGAATCAAGTCTCGGGGCAAAAAATGGGGTGGGATCTTGAAATGGTGACATTTAAGAAATAAGCCATAGTTATTTCTCTTTTGTTTTTAAACTTTTAGCTACAGTTTACACCCCAATCAAAAGGACTAAAAGTAGGGACCGAACTTGTCACCTTCAGATTTTGACCCTCTTTGGTGTCACTAGTAAGAGCCATCCTAGGAATGTGGGACCCGTTGCTCTCCTTGGAGTGGGGATATCCACGAGCAATAGTGACACGGCATCTGAGCCCTGCTGGTGTCAGAATTACCGAGGGTGCTGGTTGAAAACGCAGATTATCACCAGCCCTACTGGATCAGGACCTGGCACCTGTGTCTTTGTGAGCCTCCCAGGGGTCCTAGCAGACCCTGGCGTTGGTGCACCTCTAGCGAGGTCTCCGGCGTGGCTGGGAAGCGGACCCTTCCAGCCCAGATGCGTTCTGGAATGTCCCTTCCAGAAGGACCTGTCCGCAGCCGGCATCGCTCTCAGCCTGCCTGTGCTTAGGGAATCTGTGTGTGGTTTTGTAACTCCTCGGAGACGTGGGAATCTCTTTGAATTGCAAACCTCACATGTTATCATAGCGTTACAGTTTTCGGTCTTGTGGTTACGACAGGAGATGCAGATGTTACCAAAACTTTGGCATGAGTTTTACAAACAGATGTCAGGCGTGGACAGCCATGTTGTATTTCGCTTGTAGCGCCCCTTTTTTCTCCCCCTCTGGGTGGAAGCACTTCCATGGTCTCAGGTGAAGGTTCACTTCCACATGCACAACTGAATACATTTTTCTGGAACTGGACTGAGTTTGTATTTAGAAAGTGCCGGAGTAGTGAGGGTGAGAGCAATGGGACGGGCTCTGGCAATGCCATTTACTAGTTGGGTGACTTTGGGATACTCTTCAGCTGTCAGCCCCCCAGCTGCCTCATCTGAGAGGTGGTGATGACAAGTTCCAGAAGACTCTGGCTGGTATGACGATGATATTGCTGATCATAACATTTATTGGAAGGTCGCTCTGCTGGGCGCTTTCATTGACCGATTTCCATGTCCTCACTACAGAGACACTTAGCACCTTAGCTTTGCAGGTGAGGACACTGGCTCTGGGAGAGGCGAGTGACGTGAGCCAGGCGCAGGTTATTTATACCCTCGCCCAGGCTTTCCCCACTCACCATACTATGGCCTTTGTATAATAACAGTGCAGCAGAAAACTTTTGCAAGTCCTTTCGGGGCAGATGTGGCCAAACAAATGTGTACCTGTGTGTTCAGTCACGTTTTAGGAACACGCGGCGGCCAAGCATTACCCTTAGCATTGTGGGGAAGCCGCGTGCCCACGTGCGTCCCTGCGTGAAGGTGCTCAGGACAGACCGCTCTAGCAGAGGGCTGACTGCAGGGAGGCTGCCTGTGCTTTGCCGGTTATTGAAGGTGTTCGTAGGCGCGCACAGCTCGTGTGAGAGTGGCGGGGTGCGAGGTGTGGGGGCCAGAGGAAGGAGGGGCGCCATCCTGAGAGCCACACTCACCACGTCTACTCCTGATGCAGTCCGGGGTGGATGAAACAACCCTGCACA